TGTGAAATGTCCATGTGATAGTCCTCAGCCTGAGGAAAAGTTCCCCAAAAGCTAGACCACTGAATAAAAGCCAGCAGTTTTCTCTTTTTCCTTTCTCTGTATTTCAAAAGAAAACCTGTTGGCAGCTGGTCACTAGTGGTGTCCATCAGGGCTCAGTTTTAGGGCCAGTCTTGTTCAATATCTTTATCAATGATCTAGATGAAGGGACTGAGGGCTTCCTCAGCAAGATTGCAGATAACATCAAATTGGGCGAGAGTGTTGATCTGCTTGAGGGTAGGAAGGCTTTGCACAGGGATCTGGACAGGTTGAACTGAAGGGCCAAGACCAACCGTATGAGGTTTAACAAGGCCAAGTGCTGGGTCCTGCACTTGGGTCACAACAGCCCCATGCAATGTTGCAGACTTGGGGAGGAGTGTCTGAAGAGCTGCCCAGCAGAAAAGGAGCTGGGGGTGTTGGTTGACAGCCAGCTTAACATGAGCCAGCAGTGTGCCCAGGTGGCCAAGAAGGCCAATGGCATCCTGTCCTGCATCAGGATCAGTGTGGCCAGCAGGAGCAGGGATGTGATCCTGCACCTGTACATGGCACTGGTGAGGCTGCACCTGGAGTAGAAAGTTCAGTGCTGGGTCCCCCACTACAAGAAGGACATGAGTTGCTAGAACAAGTTCAGAGAAAGGCAACCAATCTGGTGAAGGATCTAGGGAACAGGTCTGATAAGGAGAGGCTGAGGGAATTGGGATTGTTTAGTCTGAAGAAGAGGAAGATGAGGGGAGACATTCTTGCTCTCTACAACTACCTGAAAGGAGGTTGTAGGGAGGTGGGAGTTGGCCTGTTCTCTCAAGTAAAAAATGGTAAGACTAGAGGAAATGGCCTGAAGCTGCACCAGGAGAGGTTAGATGGGATATTAGGAAGAAGTTACTTACTGAAAAAGTCATCAGGCACTGGAACAGGCTGAGCAGGGAGGTGGTGGAGTCACCATCCCTGGAAGTATTCAAGAAACCTGTAGATATGGAACTTAAAAGACATGATCTAGTGGGGTTTTTTTGGGGGGGAGTTGACAGTTGGGTGCAGTGATCTTAGAGGTCTTTTCCAACCATGACAATCCCATGATTCTGTAAAATTAGCCTACACCAATTTTTTTAAAAGGGTAATCTAGGTACAAGCTCGACATGGAGGTTTCAACCTGTAAAACTCAAACTGACACCTCTCCTTTGTCAAAAGTTGAATGCTTAAACTTCAGAGAATAAATTAACTTAAAATTCAACCCTCCCTTTAAAATTTCCTATCAGATATGATAACACATGTTTCCTTTTAGCAGTTGGGCTGTTGCAAAACTTAAGTATTTAACTTCTTGGGTAGAGCATGTGCTTAAATCAGAGCCAAAGATTCCACTCCAGAACTTTACTGGCCAAATTCTTAAGTGCATCTCACCTTAGGATTTTGGTGTTTGTGTCCCCAAATTGTATTGATAGGCTAAATGTTACATATTGCAGCCAAGTACCTAGTGAAAAGTCGGAACCAAGAACCCATTCATATAATCATGTTACATTGCAGGTGATATTTGGGCAGGACCAAGTTGTAAACAGGCTAGCATATAATTTAATTAACAGAATACACAATTAAGATGTTCCATGCAAAAACTCTATAAAGAGGAAAACACTTGCCATCTACCGGGAACTTGAATCACTGTGTAGCCATGGTGACACCTGATAATAATTTTCACACATTAAGCCTCTGCTGTGTGTCTTACATATGCACACCACTCTAATGCTTCCTTATATCTTACTATCCTGCTTGGTAAATAATGCTGCCTTTTTCAGCACCGTGTTCAAGAACAGAGCTCTTACCCCTAACATGCACTATATATTAATAGTCTTAAGAGTTTGCAGGCTTTTAGGGTTCAGTTATGCTAAGAACAGATAGAAAAATGTTTGATGCACCCTTCTGTCAACTAGAGAATGCGCTTTTCTAAGAAGTATCTCTGATGACATTTATTACCTTTCCACTGCTTCTCAAATGCTGAAGAGCAGCAATGCAGAGCCAGCAGTACCAGACACAGCCACACTCCTCTCTTTCTGAGGAGAAGGTACTGCAGGTTCCTCACTTAAGCAGCCACCTTTGCAACCACTTGGTCACTTTAACCAAACATTTTGCATCTGCTTATTTATCCAAGGGCTTGTTAGAAAAATTCACAGCTAGCCCACACCAACTGAGGAGAAAGGCTAGGGCCCATGGAACAGAATTACGAAGGTAATCCTTTTATTCATGCATCTGAGAATTTTCCATTTGAACAGGGGCAGCTGGAATATGGTTTTCACATGGCTGCTATACATCTCAAGCATTCAGGTACAACATGATTTGAATAATTGCTAATTGACACACACAACCATTTGCAAAGAAACTATATCTCTATGGCATCACGATCCACCTGCTTTTCTATTGACAGAGACATAGCTGAATTCAATCTTGCTATAGTTACTTCTCTATGATGCCAGGCAACAGGAGCGTTTCACAGAGACGTTAGAGCAGCTAGGATGCTGGCACTATCTCGGTTGTCCAGGGATATCCTTTATCCTTGGCAGACAAGCTTTAAGAGAAGAAAAAGCTTTAAGCTTCAGAGAAGCAAAGGTCTCTGTTTCAAGGGGGTTTTTCCTTTTCCTCCTGGCAACAAGCTGGAGTCCTTTAGTTTGCTTGCTTAAGCCTGACTGTTCAGTATAGAGAGTGAACTATGTACATAAGGAAGTTAATAACATTTCATACTAGAAAGACTCATTGGTGTAATACTTTGGAAACGAGATTTTGCTAACAGACCCTCAGTAGCCAGGTAAACATTTCAGAATTGCTTATCACGTGTTTGGCAGATATATATGCTAGCAGATCACAGAAGCTCAGGCCTCTGCTCGCTCTCTGAGTCCTTAAGCCACCAAAACCAGCATAGCATTATTATAACGCACCACCCTTTCAGACACAGCTACAGGAAGCAAGAAACTGCACCCTCAGAGGAGACGCTGCGCCCTCCACTGTAGGTAAAAGGGGCCTTTTTTCATTCAACTCCTCGGCCGCTTTCGAGGAGGCTGCGGGCAGCCCCCTCCTTACGGGCTCAGCAGGACGGCCAGCCGCTCGCAGGTGCCGGCTACAAGCGGGGAGGAGCGCTGAGAAGGACCAGGGGAGCAGCCAGAGCACCTCCGGGCCCCGGCAGGAGGGGCTGCTCCCCGGCCTCCCCAGCTGCCCCGGGCCGCGCTCCCCCGCGCCCCACA